CACCAGATCGGTGTCACTCAGCATCTTCGGTGGCCCTAAGTGGCCCCAGGGGCCTCCTGAGACCTCAGAGCTTCGGAGGAGCCCACTTCACCCCGCAGCTAACACACCTCTACTCCTGTCCAGCAGCTCCAGAGGGCGAAGTGACCATGGCACGCTGGGACAGAGCCCAAGCTGAAATGCAAACACTCCACAGAGAGAGCTGGCACCCCCTGTCCCTTGGCAGGCAGAACCGAGGCGGGGTCGGCCTCGACAGAATGGGACCATGATGCCACAGGAAACACAAGTCAGTTGACCACATGGCTTTATGGCCCCCTCTGGGGTGCCGTGAAGGGCACAGGTTTGTTGGGATTGGCAGGGGCGTGGTCTGGATCCCAGCCTAAGAGGCTGACTGCACAGGAGACCTTCTGAACAAGGGACGCATCTCACTGCAACCTCCGGTGGCCCCTATACCTACTGGCCTTCCGAGAAAGTCTCAGGCCTCCTCATGGCCTCCCTGAGAGGTGCTCGGCTCCCCACTGGGGCTGGAGCGTGGCTCTGCTGCCCATGGATTTCACACTGTTCATATAGTGGAGGAAGAGTGCGTGGAGGAAAGGGCTGGCTGTGGTTCTCTCCAGTTAGCCTGTGCTCCTCGGCTGAGGGAGCCTGGGGCTCTGCTGGCGGCAGGAGCCTCAGTTTCTTCTGCTTCCCACCTGGTGAAGGAGGTGCCCACTGTGGGTAAGGGGGTGGTGAGCCCAGGACAGCGGGCCCTGCACACATGAAGCTGGTGGCGGTTGTACAGTCATGGCCTGGAGCGGGGCGGGGGGGGGGGGGCACCACAGGGCACACGCTCCAGGACTCTGGAGGGCAGCTCTGCAGCATCGAGAGGGTGAACTGTCCCTTCTCCCCAAGGGGTGCAACAGGTGGTCCAGTCTCCCGCAGGCAGGCAGGGGTCTGGTCCCCGCCACGAAGGACAAAGGGCTGTTTGGCCTCACATCCTTGGTGACAGAGTGGGGAGGGGAACTCACAGATGGATGCAACCCTGGGATTTATTTCTCTAGGCTCAGTACCAGAGGAGGACACATCACCTCCAGAACAAAACAAAAGGGGGAAGAGACTGCCAGGTTTTATTTGCATGTTCATTTAATCTGCAGGCTCCAGAAGTGAGGATAACCAGAGCCTTGGTAAATTATTATTGGCTGAGGAAGCCAATTTTATTTGAACAGATGTTGTGTCCAAAATTGTTATTAATTCATCAAATATTTATAGAAAAAACTAAACAAAGGCCATTTGAATAAGAACTGTACCTGTCAAAGTTCTTTAGTTGTAGACAACAGAAACTGAACCTGGTTACTTTAGAAAAAAATTCGCTGGACCAGATCTGAGTGACTCCAAACACTAGAAAAAGAGCTCAGAGAACCCAAGCTTAGGGCACTTAGGGCACTCAGGGCAGCCCTGGCCACCCTGGCAGCAGAGTCCATCCTATGGGGGCAGCAAAGAAGAGACTGACATTAGTGTAAAGTCATTGGCCTCACAGTCAAAGTTCAGAGACTCTGTCATGCCTTGAGTCTCGGCCAAGGCAGGAGTGTGTTGACTGAAAATTCTACCTAATTTACAAAGGTCATGGGTGGTTTCTCAAAGGAACATCACAGGGCCATTTACCCAAAGGAAGGGAAAAGGGTTCCATGCAGGCAAAAACAAAACAGGTGCACGTATCAGGATCAAAGTGTAATGAGTTCAGATGACCCTGCCGGGAAGCCCGGCATTCTGTGTAATTAATGTGCACTGACAAAACAGAACGAGGCAGAGGTGCACTTTAAACCGGAAATATCACCTTGAAGTTTTCTAACCGAGTAAATATAATTCTCTTTATAAGTCCAATCAAAACACCCTAAATCATATCACAATAAGGAAAACACCCCACTATAGCACTGAAAAACCAAGATGGTAACCGAGGAAGTAATGAATTTCTGGGAGGAACAAGCAAGTGGAAAATCCTGCCAAAGCTGAAGCATCCGTAACTCCGCGTAGCTGTTTCCTCTAAAAAAGGCAGAGAGAAAAAAAGAGAAGATAGAGAAATATTTTAGGAGGTAGGAAGGAAGAGAGAAAGGAAGGAAGGCAGGAAGGGAGGGAGGAAGAGAGGGAGGGACGGAGGAGGCTGTGCCTCCCAGCAGCTCCTGCAGCCCTCAGATGGGGGCAGCAGCACCGCAGAAGGCACACCCCAGGGGCGGCTGGTGAATAACTCACAGGCCTGGAAGAGCTGGCCCAGCCCCGCTCTCCAGTTACTGGCTCTGGCGCCTGCCTGCAGGGAGCAGTCTCCCACGTAAGATGGAACACCGCATTCCCGGGATGGTTGTTGGGACTGGAACAGCAAGGAGCTTCCTGGGTAGTGTGTGATCACCATGAGATCCCCAGGAAAAAACAGGGGACTTGAATAACTGCTGGTGTGCCTCTCTCCCTGTTTCCTTCACCAATTTCCGAAAGACTTTGGAGGCAGTGGGGCAGGGATTTCCACCCGGCTGCGGAAGGGCACCCCAGCTCCCACGCGGGCCTGTGCAGAGCCCCGTGTATATCGGTAGCCTCATCACCGGGAGAAAACTCACAGTGTGGGAGCAGAGAGGGCAAAGTCAAAGAGCACAGAGCGAAAATGAGTTACCAGTGAAGGGCACGAGTTCAGGACGCATCAAACCAGGGAGAATAGATGGCTATCTACCAGAATCCTTGCAAATTAAAAATACACCCCCCAAAATAAACAGCGGGAGGCCCAAAGAACAGGATTTACACACGGAAGATAGACTCAGTCAACTAAAATACACGACCAGGGAAATCTCCAGGGCTTAGGAGAAACTGAGGTAAAATGAGGGCAAAATGGAGAGACAGGAAAGCCGGAGCCCAGATCCAGACCGGAGCCCCAGGAGGGAGGTGGATTCCGAGGCGCGTGCCTGGGGCACGCTCAGAGATCCGGGCCAGACTCCAGAGAACAGCACGCTCGGTTCCACCCCACGGGGACTCAGAGTGAGTGGGAAGGCTTGTTCTGGGCCCAAGGCAGCCTCAGGCTCCAAGCAGCCACTGGCTGAGCTCAGTTGGGTGGTGCAAGGTCTAGAGCCGTTTGGGGGTCGGGTCAGGCATGGGGTGCAGGATCTGGAGTGGCGTGGGGATCATGGGAGACGTGGGGCTTTCATACCTGGGACCACAGGATCAGAAGGTCAAGCTGTACACTGTGTACATTTTCCCATGATCAAAAGAGTATAAAGAGAAACAACACGTAACATGATATTATTTTACAAGTTAATAGAAAGATAGACATTTTTTAAAAAGAAAAGACTGGAAATTTTCACCCACCTGGACCCTGTAGACGGGAAGAACTCTCTGAGTGCCCGGTCTGTTCTGATGGGTGTTCTGGGGTTGTAAGATTGAAGTGACAATGCTAAAATCCAGGAGAGGTGGAAAGGTTGCCTGCTTCCCTGGCCTCCTACTGGTGGCCCTGCCTCCAATCCCCTGGAGATGGGCTGAGAGGCGGGGCGTCAGAGGGGCCCCAGAGCCCCCCACCTTGCCCGATAAAGGGGAGAGGGCTGTGTCCCATGCAGAGAGATGCTCGTGCCTTAAGCTACACTAATACAAAGGTGATGGCCAGAAAAGTGTCTAAAAGTGAAATGAGTAAAATTTTTTAAAACAAAGAGCTAGAAACATTACACCCAGACAAAATAAAATGAGCAAACAAAGAAATCAGGGTGGAAAAAGGAGCCAGGTCACCATGGTGTCAGGGAACACGGTGAGAGTCACATGGAACGGAGTTAAAGGAGCTGCTCCGCAGCGGGCAGGTGAGCTGGAGGAAGAAATCTCCAGGAGCACACACTCACCTCCGTGCCTCAGCCTAACTAATACCAAAACTGGCTGCCCAGAACTGTTCGGAGCTCCAGGACGGGAGCAGAGTCCAGGGGTTGGAGGGGAAGGGGGACACCTTGGCAAAAAGACCTGCCCCCAGCCCCGTGGCTCTAACTGGGCACCAGAAGGCCACTCCCACTGAACCCAAGGGTGGGCGGAGGAGGTGGCCGAGGTGCCAAGGTGACCAGGAGCAAGGTGCATGCAGGCGAGGGTGTGCGTGGCTCACCTCCAGGAGAGGTGCTGAGGACAGCAGAGGTGGGGGATAGAGGGGTGAGGGGTGGCACCAGGCTGCGAGGACCCGCAACAACACCCAGCAACACCGTCAGTCTCTCCCCATGTTCCTGGGCTGCTGCAGACTGGGGTGGGGAAGTTGAATCCAATAATGTAGGCTGAAGCCTTTGAAAACTGCGGTGCTGTGAATATGTAATATTAATGTTAATTATCCTCATTCATTCTTCAGGATTATATTTAAATTCCCAGAGTTTCTAAATTAAGATCATAAATTGGTGTCTGTAACCCTTATCCTGTAGGTAACCGGGGGCTTTGAAGAACCTGATCAAAGTGAATTCTTTCACAAGGATCCAAGAGAAGCCAGCAGTGAGCACCTCAGGCCGGTGCCCAGCTCTGCCCTCTCCTCCCCTTTCCCGATGCCGCCCTCTCTGCCTGCCCAGTTAGGTCTGGGACTTCAGAAGGGCCTATTAGCCAGGAAGACTTCGTCTCCTTTGGGAGAACCGGTCTTTTTATGATATTAAATCAATTTTATAATTCTAAGAACATTCTTGATAACTGTATTTGCTAAAGAGACATGGTTTTGACCCTGTAGAGCTCAGGATTCGCACAGCAGCCGGCTGTGGAGAGAGATTCCGGGCTTGGGAAGCACCATGAGGAACATACTCGCCCATCTCCTGTGTCCACGCAAGAGGCCAGGAGGAGACCACAGCACACAGCACCAAAGCACTTCTCTCCCATCCCGAGGATGCTCAGTTACTTCCTTGTTTGCAGCCAAGCCATTCGAACTGGCATTTCTAGGAGTTTGCTGTACCTGGCCATGCACTGGTTTGTAATGGGAGCAGCCGGCGGCCCATGGCAGTGGTGCCTCGGCCTGCAGGAGCCACTGGCCACAGTCGATTACAAATGGTAACTCAGCCACACAGTGAACTCTGAAATGCACGACTGAGTTAGGAGCCAACTGTCACACTTGTGTGATTGACTGTGTGTGTGTGAAAGAGAGAGACATTACAAGATTTTATGCTAATTTTATGGTTATTATTTAGCATTGATAGGAAATTACTGAGGTCTTACTTTTAGGAATTAAAGGAACTATTTTTATCTTCTCTCTAACTTTGAAAATGTGACGGTTTTATTTTTAAAGGAAAAGTTCAATCTTGACCTTTAATACAGTAAATGATTTTGATGCTGCTTACAGAAAAGAGAGGATACAAAGCACAGACCAGACCTATTATTCCTCAACTAGCTCTATCCAGAATTATAACAATGAGCCAGTAAGTTTTAAGAGAAAAATCTGAAGTTTTATCTTGGCCTCTAGTGTTACTACCAGCAGTGAGGAAATCCAGGGAGAGTGGGTGATCTTTGGGTTTCCCAAGCCCTTTCTTAGGCACCGAGAACACTTATTAAGATACATATGCTTTTATGGAATAATGTAATTTAATTCTGTATTTTCTATAACATCCATGAAATGAGCAATTTAGAAGAAATTGTAATAAAAATGTAAACACAGTAACACTGTCTTCATGGGATGAGATAACAGAGTAGTCTGCTCTCACGTCAATCTACCCCAAACTACAAGGCCAGAGGTAATTAGCTATCGATCCTGGCAGTAGTAGCCAATAAGTTAAATAAATGCTCGCTTGTCCAAGCCTTGCATAGGAGACGACCGTCATTCCATCCAGGTATTTGTTGTTTATTTGCTGCCCACACCCACTGTTTTATAACTTGAATCTCCAAAGTCTTCCCCAAATTCCTGTGTTGAAGGCTTGGTCCCGAGGGGCAGCCACTGCGAGGCACTGGGGACGCTATGAGGGTCGGCCCTCATCCACTGATGGGTTTGCGCCACTGTGGGAGTTGGGCACGGGGCCTTGTGTGATGTGAGGCCTCTCTGCGTCCAGGCCACTGTGGGGTGAGCAGCTTTGCCCCACCACCATCAGCACCATGATGCTTGGCCCCAGCACAAGCCCAGTGCCACGCTCTAGGTGAACACAGGCTGGGACCTCTAGAACCATGAGCCAAGCACATGTCTCCTGCGAGGTGATGTCCTTACATATTGTGTCACAGCTGTGGAGAGCTGATATGCCCTTCTTGAAAAGCATGTTGGACCCTAACTGGACGGGACAGTGCAGCGATATGTCCTTGGCTGTCAGGCAGTGTGAGCCGGCTGGAGGAGGCTGGCCTCTTACCAGAGTCAGCCTGTCACAGTCTCGCTCCTAGTTTCAGAGGAAGCAGCGTTTGTAACTAGAAATGGCACTGCTGGGATCACAGTTTTGAGCTGCACATGATGAGTGTGGGCTGTGTTAAAAACAAATACCTGGCAAATGAACAACAAATACCTGGATGGATGTGGCACTCACAGTTGGTATTTTGCAAGGACAAAAGGAAAGGCGCATGCAGAGCAGAGACAAGGGTCCAGGAGGCAGAGGACAGGAAGAGAAAGACAGCAAGAGCACAGTGGAGGGCGCTTGGGTGACCTTCTGCTTCTGTGACGGCTGCTGTAGCTGCTGGAATTCAACACTCTGGGATGCTTCATGGCTTACAATAAACTGCTTTTTTATTAGCCCAGTGTAAGTAGAATTTCTTTCTAGTAACCATGCATAAGTAACTCTTAAACCACTATGTTGATTTTCAAGAATTCTAAAGATGATAAAAATTTATATTTTCCTGCCAAAATATCAGAACCAGGCAAGCAAGTCTGACATCAGAAATGCCATTTTTTTGGTTTAAATCCAAAATCAGTTTAGGAGAGCAGTGGCGAGCGTTGGTTTTAACACAGCCCACACTCGTCTTGTCCAGCTCAAAACTATGATCCCGGAAATGATCAAGAATTTTAAGTGGTGGCACCTGGGACACAAAGTACTTAGTAAACATAGGTACTTTGCTCTATTACGGTTAGAATCGACTGTTAAGGAAGGAGGACTAGAGAGGAATAGGGAGAGTGTGAGGTGGTTCACAGCCTATAAGAAAGGCACCAGGTTCTTAAGTCAGGGATCTAGTCTGTTGCTATGAGGATACACTGACTAATAAGGATAAACTCCGCTTAGTAAAATGCTGGCTCAGCTGCACGGGTCTCAGAAGGAGCGGCTTGAACCTTCTTTTGGACCATTAGACAAGGCTTAAGGAAACCAGGGAATATTTAAGTCGGGCCAGTCAAGCGAACCATTTAATAATGAATACAATTAAGAGTGGGTACACAATTAGCAAAAGGAGATCAGAACCACTGAGGCAGGAATTGAGGAGAAATAGGAGGGAAGTGCTAGGGACCACAAATTATAAACTGAGTCTAGGGACGTCCACGCTCGTCCTTGTCCTGCCCTCGAGCCAGATTGAAACATGGAAACTTTTCCGGTCACAGCTGGAAGCCCTAAGGCTAAAGACTGCTGCCCGCTCACCAGCCAAGCTGGGGCTGCTGAGACCACAAGGTCCTGGGGACACTCCGGTCTCCTCGCTGCCCCGACTTGCCCTGTCCTTGCACGAAGCTTTGCTCTTCTTCCCCATCCACGCAGCCACCACTGCTGCTCCGGAGACACTCAGCGCCCTCCGCCCACTGTCCTTGACCGGATGTGATCCATCAGTACCACGGTTCTGGGTGTTTTGTTCCCTGGGACAACTGTCACCAAGGACACCTGCTGCACCTCCAGTGTGGCTCTTGATCTTCCCTCCTGCCACGCCCCCGAACTCCAGGAGGGAGACTGGAGTCCCCAGTAACCAGTGCTGTGGGAAGGGTCTCTGACAGGGAAGAAATTTTTAAAAATAGAAAGAGAGAGGCTTAAGATGAAAAGGTCACCTTTCTGGCAGCACTAGAAAATTTTGAGGAATAAGTACATGCTGTGAGCAATAGAGGAGCTGGTGACCGGTTTCAGTGGGAGAGTCTCCAACCGCAAGGCCAAGGTGGCTCTGGCAGGTTGATGGGCAGATCTGCAAAAACCTGGCCAATCTCTCAGCGCAGAGGAGGCGGCGGAACTACCAGCAGGCTGGAGGGAGAGGATGGCTTGAGGCTTGGAGGATCCTTACAGGGATCACGAAGTTTTTGGAATAATAATTTTCATAATTCTGTCCCTCCGTGATCTTTCTGAAAAGAGTTGATCATGCATGTTTGCATTAGGAAGTCGAGTAAACAGGATGTTAATTTGAGAATTTAAGGCTACCTAGTTAGGATTGTGTGTGTTTCTGTAGTTACAGATATCAGAGCCTGCGGATTCCTTTGGTATTTTTGTTTTTGTCTCCTTCTTGGCTTTGGGCTTCCCTAAGTGTCCTTCCCTCTTTAGTGCTGGCTGTCACCCCCTGTCTTCCTGCTGGCACCCCGCTGGTGTGGTGGGAATGCCCAGGAGGGAGCTGTCTACACTCCTGCAGCTAACTCTGCCTATTGCAAGTGTTTCTTCAGGAACACAGATTTTTTTCCCTGATGCTTCCTTCTCCTTTCCCTGGCTGCAACTTTTCCACCAAGTTTTCTGGAGCACTTTGGGGGAAGCACGGCCTTCTCTGACCAGCAAAGTCTGCGGGGTCCCCTCCTCCTCCAGGTCCCCAGAGGTCTTTCTTGGTTCCTCATAGACAGAACCGGGAAGAGCCCCCAGAGCACGGTGCAGGGCCTCCAAGACGGTGGTGCTGGGGCTTCCTCATTCCAGCACAGAGTCCACTCCAGCCATGTGCCAGGATTGTGAACACTGCCTTCTAATTTCTTCTGGTTTGGGAGGTTTCTGCTTCAAATAACAGATCTGCTATGCATCAAGAAATGTAAGATACGGAGGAATAATTTTAATGAAAGATGGGCAAGCCTGCTAGACTGAAAGCTATAAAATACTACTGAGAGGAATTAAAGAGCATCTATATAAATGCAGAGTCATACCATGCTCACAGATTGGAAAGTTCAATATTATGAAGATATCAATTATCTCTGCTAGTTTCTTTTGGCTGCTGTAACAGATTACTGCACATTAAATGGCTTGAAGTAACACAGATTGCAATGCATGGTGGAGGGTGCCGGTAATCTGAGAACTCGGAAAGCTGAGGCAGGAGGATTGCCACAGGATTGAGCCAGCCTGGGCTACACAGTGAGTGTAAGGCCAGCCTAAACTGCATAGCAAGCACCTGTCTCACAAACCAAAAGAAAAATTTAAAAACTCACAAACATATTGTCACACAGCTCTGTAGATAAGTCTAGTGCAAGTCTCAGAGAGGCTAAATCAAGGCGTCAGGACTGTGCTCCTTCTGGAAGCTCTTGGGGGATCAAGACCCCCTCTCCTGTGCAGGCAGCTGTCCCCCTTCAAAGCCGGTAGGAGCGTGGCAAGTTCTCTGGCTGTTGCATCACTCTGACCTCCGCGCTGCCGCCTCCTCCTCCGTGTCGGAGAACCCTGTGGTCACACTAGGCCTGACCACGCTGGAAGAACCTCAGTGCCACAGAGCCTAACACGCTGACAGGTCCCAGGGGTGAGGACAGGGACAGCTGAGGAGAGAGGAGGGGAGACACGCTATCACTCCCTCATGATCTGTATGTACATTCAGTGCAGTTCTCGCCAAATGCCGGCAGCCTGGTTTGCAGAAATTGGCAAGCAGATACTAAAATGTATAAAGAACACTAAACAATTTAGATTAATGGACTAAGTATCTTTAAAAAGGACCAAGTCCGGCAGACTTACACTACCCAACTGTAAGACTGTCCCGAGAGCTAGCCTGATTGAGACGGTGCGGTTGGCGTCAGGATAAGCTAACAGAGCAGTCACAAATGGTGCCAGCCAGTGGACGTCTACACGGGAAAAAGATGAACCATGACAGACACCTCACAACGCTCCCCAGCATCAGCCCAGGACGGACTGCACCCTGAAAACCTTAACTAAAATGTTCCTAGAAGACAACGTGAGAAGCATCTCCGTGACCTTGGTGTAGAAAGGGAGGTCTTAGACCGGGAAAATCACTAACGGTGAAAGGAAAGACCGCGTGCGATGGCTGACCGCGGTTCTGGCTTTGATTTGACTGGGAGAAACGAGGAGAATCAGTGAAACACACTGCTGGGTGTGCCAGCACATGAGACAGCAAATGGGGTGCAGGGGCCCCCCACCACCCGGTAGGCGGGGGCCAGCGGGACAAAGGCAGGAGAAAGCTGTCAGCACAGGTGCATGCTCTCCCCCACCCCGTCTCTTTCCCTCCGGCTCTGTTTCTCTCAGCTTCCTGCCGCCATGAAGTGAGCAGCCTCTTCCTCTACATCTGCCACCACGATGTCTCTGTATCACTTCAGGTGATGGAGCCAGTGGACCAGGGACCTCTGAAACTGGGAGCCAAACTCAATATTTCCTCTGTAACTTGACTTTCTCGGTTATTTTGTAACGGTAGTGAAAAGCTATACAGTACAATAAGCTAATAAATTGGGATAAAAATTTTCAAATTCTGTTTATCCAAAGACAGCATTAAACTGGGCGTGGTGGCACTCCTGCAATCCCAGCATTCCCGAGGCTGAGGAAGCAGGATCATGGCAAGTTCAAGACCAGCCTGGGCTACAAAGTGAGCCCAAGGCCAGCCTGAACTGCATAGAGATCTGTCTCAAAAAGACAAGAAATTAAAAGAGAACATTAAGAAAATAAGATCTGAGGTGTGCATGTGGAGAACGCATTGCAGTGCACAGACACAGTCACCTTGGACACACGGTGCCCTGCCTGCATCCACCTTCCTACTGAAGGACTTGTGCCGCCTGCTGCTTGGAGAGCTGTTGACTTGCTCCTGGCTTCGTCTCACTGTGAGGCCTGGGCAAGCACCCTCTCAGCTTTCGATGTTGATCATAAGAGAGTCATGAGCCCCCTCAAGGATTAAGAGACTGACTATGCGCCAAGCCCTTAAAAAGTGGGGGCATGCCCTTGATAACTATTAACATCTTACAGTTCCCTTTCACAAAGGCAAAGAGGAGCTCTAAGATGGGTTTTTAGGCATGGATGCTATTTGCAGGCTTTGAGGTACTCAAGTCGGGGGGATATACAGAGCTTCAAAAACCTGAGTCTACCCGGAGCTGTCTCTGAAGACACCGTGGCCACCTGTGGGCCTCAGCGGGTCCTGCTCAGTAGCTCTAGACTCAGTGCAGCTGTCACAGGGTGTCAAAGGCTGCGGATTCTAGAGGAGGCCTCATCATGACCCCCGACAGCGCCAGGCAGAAAGGAGCCATTGCGCTGAAAGCCTCGCTTTCCACACCAGTGGTTGCAAAGCAAACGCCCCTGCAGCTGACCGGCTGCTGCTGAGGTGATTGCCTCTCCAGATTACCCCAGGTACAACTCGCAAGGGCGCCGGCGTGAGGCTGGGGCGTACGTTCTCTCTGCTTCTCCCTTCATTTGATCAGAGGCTGTGAACATCTTCCGACTTGACCAGATGCATCCGGGAATCAGGTCAGGCTTTAGCATGACTGCGCTGCTACACCCTGGATTCAGCTTGCAATAGTTTGTCTTTGTTCTGAAATAAAGATATGGTCCTAAAAGTCTTATATAGTCCTCTTAAAAAAATGTGATGAGTTCTCCAGTAGTGCACAGCAACCCAGAGACATTACTTATGGAGAGGGATGTCGCTGCATAATGTATCTTATTGAATCAGAAGTATTTCCCAGTTGATTATTGGATGCATAAATCCAACCAAAATTATCACCTATCGAAGTGAAAACATTAAACGTATAAACCCAGATGGATTACCCAGCAAATCATAAATAGCGCGTGGCACTTATGGATTGGCATCCTGCTGTCTGGAGCTCCTGGGAGCAGCTTTCGCTCTCTCGGGGACTGGAGGGGAGGTGGCTGCGCCCTTCCCAGCTGCACAGGACACGTGGTTTCATCCCTCCACCCACCCTCCCTGTGCCACTGACCTCTACAACTGTCGAGGGGGCAGATCCTGTGGTGCATTTAAAACAAACATGCAGTGCTGGAAGGTGACTGTGTGGTGAGAGAATGTCAGCTGCTCTCGTGACTACGACACTGCAGAGCTGAACACTCATTAGCATACAGCGCCTGCTCCCCCGGCCCCCAGAGAACACTGAGTTGGGGTTGACCAGGAAGGCAAGGCCGTCTCAGGGTCAAACAAGCAGGGTTTTATGTAGCCATGTTAGAGTGGCCATCGGGTCCTTATTACTGCTGTCCCTGGAGGTCCCTGTAGGTCTCTTTGTTCTCCGTGTCTCTTCAATGAAGCGTAACCACACCCCGCACACCCCATTGTGCCTTCTGTCTCCCAGCCCACATTCACACCAGTCAGGGCACATCACGCAAAAGCCACGTCATGTGGAGCCACCTGCCCGACCACCAAGGGTGCCAGACACTGTGCTGTGCTGTGTACTGCAGTTCTGCACAGTTGCCTTCCCACTCCCAACAGTGGCTACGATCAGCATCTCTCCAGAGGAGAAGTAAGGCACGATCTCAAGCCAGTGTTTCCTGGCTTCCAAGAATACCCCTTGGTTCGCCCTGATGTGGCTGAGCATTGCACACTTCACACTAGGCTAGGCCACACCCAGGATATGACTGCCGATTTGTGAGCCAGAAAATACCCATGGCCAGTAAGGCGTGTCCACCTCCCAAAAGAGAGTCTCCGAGGAAGGAGGGAGGCCTCTCTCACATGCGTGCCAGCTGGGGCGTTTACATCCTCATCAGGCCACAGAGAGGGGGTGGCAAGGTGTCGGGGCAGGAAGACAGCTGATGTTCCATCTACAGGGGATGAGCAGTGATGTCAGACTAGGGAGGACGGTGGCAGGGCAGGGTGAATGTCAGGGACCAGGTCGAGGAGAGGCATGGTAAGTAGGCCAGAGACCTCATCTTGCTGTGGAGAAAAGGCCCCACTGTGACTGAATGTCGCCTGCCTCAGAGACATGGGGACACAGGAGCTCAGGCTCATTGTCAAGCAAGAGGAGCAAACTATTCTGGGACTAAACAATAATTGAATTTCTACTCCCTCAAACTAAAGACATCATGCATGGACCATCCATCATCTCTTTGGATGGTTTATCAGCCCCCAGAAGATGCAGGGGAAGCTGGGCTCTGGGGAAGCAAGACTCACTTCGATAGGACAGGCTGGTGTCACCACCAGCGTCACCGAGTCCAGTGCAGGCTGTTGGCCTGGGCCCCTTCCCTTACGGTGAGTCAACCTCAGCTCAACAGGGGAACAGGAAGCGGAGGGCCGGAGCTGGGGCAGGGCTTACCAACCTCCCATCAAGCCTGAGCCCAGAGGACAGAGGAGCTGCCGAGCTGGGACCCGAGGCTTCGGTCATCTGACGGACGGGGCTGGCCTGGCCAAATTCCAGGACAAAATGAAATAAAACTGATTAAGCAAATGCCTGTCTGAAGCCATAAAAATAAAATCCATGTGATTACTGTGTTGTGAAAGCCTGCAAGAGAGTAGACGGCATCTGAGTGGGAAGCTCCGTCTTCCAGGTTAACCCCGTCTTTCTGCCCACCGTGTCCTGGGTGCCAGCCGAGTCCGGGACGAGACTGCTCTCGGGTCCGACTGCACCTTCTGAATTCCTGTCCAAGAGCAGATGTGGCACCAGATGTGATGCCTCTTTTTCAAATGAGAATTTTATGATGGTTTCTTTACTATTTTGAGACTAAAGTCACAGCTGATTTATTTATTTTACCTTCATATATGATGTCTTAAAAATCAATATGATGCTATAACTCTAATTTATTAAATTATAGAGAGACATGAAAGGAAAGACATCTATAATAAAGTAATACCACGTTTGGGTCTGGAGATGTCCCAGTGAGGCCACCGTAGAAGACCAACAAAGGTGTTGGGGGTTGCCCCAGGTGTTGGGGTCACGGTTTGTGCAGGCTGAGCATGCCTAGAAGCACTGCTCTCTCTGGCACATGACTTCCTGGTGTGGCCAACGACTCTGTTAAGTTCCCAATAGAGCAAATGACAAACTCTCCTCTGATATTACGGTCAACGCATGGAGAGATCGGTGTGTAGTGATACCTGAAGTAGTCTGGGCTATGTAAAAACAGAGTTGCAGTTTAAGCCTGGATCACTGTAAACAAGTTTCTCACCTCCTTCAAGGTCTTCAGGGCATTAAAAGTCAGGAAGGTCCCCATCAATTATCTACTGTCTACAGCTCTCCTGCTCATGGAAAATCCTTGACATCTCCCTGTATAATTGCGATGCTAAACATTGTCAGTCTCAGATTGTGCCCATAAAGGAAATTACCCCGAGACACACTTACCCAAGATCACGTGACTAGACATTTTGCACCGTACAGTACCATAATGCCGAGAGCGAAGTCATACACAAACTAGGATCCAAACAAAAGCTAAGAATGGGAGGTGCCCACTGGTTCAATGAGCCTCATCCTCCCTGATGGGAACCAGACACTAATCTGTCCTGCGCCCTGTCCATCTAGGACAGGGGTGGTGAACCTATGGCACAATGCCACAGAGGGCTGTTGGCTATCACTGAAAGCTCTAGAAGGTTGCCATCACTGACTGAGGATATTTC